GCACCTTGTTGTCTCGGATTCTCCAGCATCTGCAGTTCCTACTATCTATGTAAATTGATGTTTTGTTTCGAAGTTTTATTTCTTGCATGTCAATCCTGATGAGTGCAAGGTGAAAAGCTGTGTATCTCTTTTTAGTAATGTTAGAACAATGCACAAATGAAGAGAAGTGTTAAAATTGATTAAGATATATCTCGTATTTAAGATGATCTATAATTGAAGGGGTGTTTGGAGTTTGTGGAATATGGTTTGAATATTGAATTCTTGCATGACATTTGTCTTTAAGTTTGACATGATTGCTTTTTCCTATCTTTTGAACAGATTGATCAGAGCCGGTTAACCACATTGCTTGAAGATGCGTTCAGCAAGTTCTTCTACAGCAGGAATGGCTCCATTTCCGATGTTACCGTTTCATCATAGCTATACTAGAGTCATTGTTTGACGCAGCTATTTCATCACCGGTCTGAGACGGGCAAAAGACGGCATCACAGGAAGCCATACATTCTGGCTCAATTGCATGTTGTAGTATGGTGATGAGTTCCCAGCTACAAATGGTGAACATCCCACCTTTGAAAAGTTCTGTTGTCAGTATTATGTCCAATCTGTGCTTCACCCTGTGACTGTCGTATTTTCTTTAGCCGTATGACTCGCAAGGCGCTGCCACATTGGAAAGGCGCTTTTCTCTTAATCGAGGTATAGGTGGGTTGGAGACAGGTAGGGTGGGAGGGGAGGGGGAAGAAGGTTGCTTAATCTGACGTGGATGCTCCACAGAAGAGCTTAAAAAGTGAGGGGTCTGCACAGAATGAAGTATCACTTGATACGTTTTTGTGAACTCTTCTAATACATTGTATCGCTTTATATATGCCAGTGATGTGCATGTTTCCTCTATATGTTGTATAATCTTTGCACATGTGTTTTCCAAGATGTGGAATGCTAGGTGATTTTTAATTACTTCCTGACAACGTTCCAGTAAACACACTTTTAAGAGGTCACCATGTGAAAGAAAAGTCCCACTACTCGTCAATGTTTAAATTTTCTTAAAATGCCATGACTTTTATGCACAAATGTGAAAAAAGTGATGGTCACAAACTTAATGGTTAACTAGTCTTTTTTAACTGACCATTTCAGTGAAATATTCAAATTGGTTAATAGAATTTCAATGAATTCGTCTGGATCCAAGCACAAAATTGAAGCATCTCGCTGTCATTTCTCCAATGTGTATAAAATTTCTGAATCAGAGAAACAAACTTACATTGCAAATCAGTTCCAAATCCTAAGATTCAAATGATGCACCAAGGCTGCCTTTAGTCTATCTGAATGCTTTGTTGAAGCCTTCCTTCACCCTTGCCCACCCATTTTTCATCAAGCCAAACTATGAAACAGATCTATAATCCTTACTCTGTAGTATTTTGAGTTGTGTGGCTGAGGCTATTTAGTAATGCCTTCTATTTGTTTTAATACAAGAGCACATCATTGCAATTGTATTGAGAATTTGTTGGCCATGTGTTTCTGAGAGGTCAGTTGGCCAAAGGAAGTAGAGATGATTCGTGTTTCATCTTCTGCCCTGAGCCAAATAGTGCACAATGCCCATAGCATGATATGGGCATAGTTTTTTGGCGATTTTTGTTTTGAGCAGAGGGAAGGGTAAAGACCGCTTGCAAGAACCAGCTTGCCAGTAACCTTTTCTGATTATGTCTTGCATTTTCTCAGCTTAGTTATGTTTTCTTGTATATGTTGTGGAATGTTTTCAATCCTTTCTGCACATAGACAATGAAATTTTGACCTGAAAGGAATTGAGGAATGATGATACAACACGGTGAAAGGAAAAATTCACTGTTGGGTGGGGGAGCATTGGAGAATTAATTTGAGTTGCTGTAACTTTTGGGAATTGCGAAACACTGTATTTGTGGTATTGTTTAAAGCCCTGTCTGCGTTTAATGCAGCATTCGTTGGAGCAAATATACTGTACTGAAAAAGCAATGTGTGGCTGTTCTTTTATTGTTAACTCTGTGTTGCAAAACATTGTTTTGAATATATGTACGGGTAAATGCTCTTTCAAGTGTCCCTCGGCCTTTCAGTTTGTGCATTGAAGTAGTTGGATATCCAAAGTTGTCACTCTTAACACAGCACCATAAAATTCTAAACATCATTCCATGTGTATTTTGGAGTATTGCTTGCTGAGAGTTTTTTTAGAAATACTACTTTGTTTGAACTATTTGGTCTACGATTAATTCGCTTTTGTTTGAACATATTTTTTGAGTGAGGCGGTCAACATTGGAACTTTCAAATTCAGAACTTGATGACGACTGGTCTTTGGTTAAAATAATCTTTTGGGGAAAAAAAGAATTTCCTAAGGTTTTACTATGTTTATTGTTTCCTACTTGATTTTAATGAAACTCGGGCAAGTAGTTTCCTAATACAGTAACAGAGACGTCATCCATCATCTTAACATGGGAGGTCCGTATAAAACTGGTATAACTAAATATACATCAGATGAAAGGCACCTGTGTCCAAGTTGGTTTCAATTTGCAGTTTCAAGAATGTATCCCAGAAGGAGAAATTTGGACTTTTCTGCTTCTACGGCTGCTTGAAATTTTTTGGTGACCCTCAGTTGCAGACACTTGCTGTAGTAATTTTTACAGGTCTGAAAAATTCTGCATTACTTACCGTTTTGAGTGTAAATCAGTCCTGTTGATATGGTCTTTTACATCAGTGGACATTCACGGATCACTTGGATTTTATTGTGAGGTTCTATAGCCATGCCGTTTTTGGGAGACTGCAGAGCCTTTTTCAATCCTGTAAAGGTGTTTGATATGCTTCCTTTTATTGGTCAGTGCATTGAGTACAGGAGCTGGGATGTCATGTTGTGGCTGTATGGGACACTGGTTAGGCCACTTTTGGAATACAGCATTCAATTTTGGTCTATGTTGTGAAACTTGAAAGCGTTCAGAAAAGATTTACAAGGATGTTGCCAGGTTTGGAGGGTTTGAGCTATAGGGAGAACTTGAATAGGCTGGGGCTCTTCACTCGAGCATTGGAGGCTCAGGGGTGACCTTATAGAAGTTTATAAAAACATGACGGGCATGGATAGGGTGAATAGACAAGGTCTTTTCCCTGAGGTAGGGGGAGTCGAAAACTAGAGGGCATAGGTTTAAGGTGAGAGGGGAAAGATTTCAAAGGGACCGAAGGGGCAAATCTTTCATCCAGAGGGTGGTGCGTGTATGCAGCGAGCTGCCTGCGGTAGTGGTGGAGGCTGGTGCAATTACAACATTTAAAAGGCATCTGGATGGGTATATGAAGTGGAAGAGTTCAGAGGGATCTGGGCCAATTGCTGGCAAATGGGACTAGATTAATTTAGGATGAACAAGTTAGAGTGAAGGGTCTGTTTCCATGCTGTACAGCTCTATGACTCTAAATAGTCCGTTACTATGTGCTTTGTCAAAGATTTAACATATTGTACAAAATCTGATCTATCTTGCTTAAGCAGCAAAGACTGATGAAAGGTGGAACTGACTTGCAACCCAAATACATACATAAGGTACATTGAGAAATGTGAATACTCTGAAACAGGATGAGTGCTGATTGGAAATAAGTTGTTTTGCGTCTGTGTCACTTGTCATTATTTGAAGCTGGGGAAGCTTGTCAACCACTCAGGATTACAGTGGCTAATTGAGACTGTGTTGATGAGTGCAAAGCCATAATTTCAAAACATTGCCTTCTGTTTTACCCTTTTTTCATCTTGAATCTCTTCCTATCCCCACAAAATTATTTATTGAGAGTTACATTTATGAAAATTGATTTCGATGTCATAACAATAGTTTTTAAAAATGCAATGTCTTCTGAATTTTGCACTTCATCCTGGGCAAGGGTGGAGAATATTCCTAATTTCTGTTAGTCACAAGGAGGATTTCCTGCCACCTCAGCGAATAGTTGTATTCCTGGTGAGAAGTTGCTTTTTTAAAAAACTTCCCTTAAATTGTGAATGACAGCAACGTGCGGGGACAGAAGTTATTTCTAATGTGTATTTAACCATTAACTTGGTGTGTTCCTTTTTCCTCTTCTAATATCTATGTGTCACAGTAGATATTTCACCACCCGCAAAAGATAATGGGGTATAGTACAGAAATAGTTTTTCTGGAGATTGATAAAATTCATTCTTTTAGAAAACTGCATTTTTTTAAACAAAGCATTGCAAATAACTCAAAACCTTTCTGAACGTTTCCGTTGCGACCAATGTTTCCTTCTCGTAAATACCTGTTCTTAGAATGTTATAATTTTGTGACAAGCCTGAGTGAATCATAGTTGTACAGCACAGAAACAGACCCTATGGTCCAACTTTAGTGCATGCCGACCATAATCTCAAACTAAAGTAGTCCCACCTGCCTGCGCTTGGACCATACCCCTTCAAACATTTCTTAATCATGTACTTATCCAAATGTCTTTTTACTGTAACTGTACCCACATCCACCATTTCCTGTGGAAGTTCATTCCACACGTGAACCAGTCTGTGTTTAAAAAAAATTTGTGCCTCATGTCATCTTTAAATCTTTCTCCTCTCACCTTAAAAGTATGCCTCCTCGTTTTGAAATCCACAACCTTAGGGAAAAGACTCCTGCCATTCACATCATCCATGTTTTACCCCTCATAATTTATAACCCTCTATAAGATCACCAATACCTCTTATGCTCCAGTGAAAAATGACCCAGCCAATTCAACCTTTCCTTTATAACTCAAACCCTTAATTCCTGGCAGCGTTTTGGTAAATCTCTTCTGCTTAATAATATCCTTCTTGTAACAGGGTGACCAGAACTGGACACAGTACTCCAGAAGAGGCCTCACCAGCATCTTGTACAACCTCAATATAATGTCCCAACTCCTGTACTCAAAAGGTCTGAGCAATGAAGGCAAGAGTGCTAAATAACACTGCCCAAGGCCGTACTTTTAATTGTATAAGTCCTGTCCTTGTTTTACCAAAATGCAATACCTCACAATTATCAAATTGAACTCCACATACCACTCTTCAGCCCATTGACCCAATTGATCAAGGTGGCTCAGTGATTAGCACTGCTGCCTCACAGCACCAGGAACCCAGGTTCAATTCCACCCTCGGGCGACTGTCTGTGTGGAGTTTGCACGTTCTCCGTGTCTGCATGGGTTTCCTCCGGGTGCTCCTGTTTCCTCCTACAATCCAAAAATGTGCAGGTTAGGTGGATTGGCCATGCTAAATTGCTCATAGTATGCAGGGATGTGTAGATTAGGTGGGTTATAGGGAGATGGGGTCTGGGTGGGACGCTCTGAGGGTAGGTGTGGACGTGTTGGGCTGAAGGGCATGTTTCCACACTGTAGGGATTCTATGATCTATGATCTCTTTGTAATTTTAAATAACTACCTTTACTGTTCACTATACCATCTCCTTTTGGTGTCATCTGCAAACCTACAAACCATGCCTTCTATATTCTCATCTAAATCGTTTTATTTTAATGACAGAAGTGGACCCAGCATCGATCCCTGGTCACAGGCCTCTAGTCCAAAAAACAACCCTCCATTGTCACTCGGTCTCCTGCTGTTAAGACAGTTTTGTACCCAAGTGGCAAGCTCACCATGTGCAACTTTGTCAAAGGCTTTATTACAGTCTAAGTAAACCATGTCTACCGTTCTGCCCTCATCAATCATCTTCGTTACTTGAGTCAAAAATCTCAATCAAGTTTGTGAAATTCGATTTCCCTTTCTCAAAGCCGTGCTGACTATCTATAATCATTCCTTGTCTCTCAATGCATATAAAGACTATCTTTCAGAATCACCAACAACATACCCATCACCAAAGTCAGACTCTCGGGTCCATAATTCCCAGACTTCTCCTTACATCTCTCCTTAAACGAAGGGGCAACATTAGCCACTCCCCAATCACCTAGCACCTCACTTGTAGTCACAAATGATACAAATATTCCTGCAAGGGGCTCCACAATTTCCTCTTAACTTTCCACAGTAGTCTGGGATACACTAGATCAGGTCCTGGAGATTTATCCGCCTTTATATTTTCTTAAGACCTCCAACACTTCCTCTTCTGTAATATGAACTGTTTTCCAAACATCAATGTTTATTTCCCTGAGCTCTCTAGCTTCTACTTCTTTCTCCACAGTAAAAACTGACATGAAATATACACTTAATATCTCTTCCATCTCTTGAGGTTCAACTCAAATGTGACCCTTTTGATCTTTAAATGGCCCTATTCTCTCTAGTTGCTCTCTGTTCTTAATGTAGTTGTAGAATCTCATTAGCTTATCCTAACCTTATTCGCTAAGACTGCCTGATATCCTCTCTTTGTCTTTCTGATCTCCCTCTTAAGAATGCCCCTGTAGTCTTTATTCTGTTCAAGAGATTTATTTGAGCCCAGTAGTCTATATCTAATATGATTTTTTTTATGCCTGACTAGAACCTCAATATTTTAATTCATTCATTGTTCTCTAATCTGACCAGTCCACCTTTCATTCAAACAGGAATGTAAGGAAGCTGAACTCTCATTTGAAAGCCTCCCACTTAATAGACTTTACCTTTACCTGTGAACAGTCTACTCCAATCAGCTTTTGAAAGTTGTTGTTTCATGACATTAAAATTTGCCTTACTCCAATTTAAAACTTCAATTTTTATGGAAGGCTTATCCTTTTCTATAACTCTTTTAAAACAAATAGAATTATGATCACTAGAGCCAAAGCGTTCCCGTACTATCACTTCAGTCCCTGTCTTATTACCCAAGAGAACGTCAAGCTTTGTTTCTTCTCTAGGAACATTTACATATTGATGAAGAAAATTGTTTTCTTTGTTTATTATTCATTCATGGGATGAGGGCATTGCTGACCAGACAGCATTTATTGCCCATCCCTAATTGCCCAGAGGGCAGTTCAGAGTCAGCCACATTGCTTTGTGTCTGTGGGTCATCGCATGTAGGCCAGAGCAGGTAAGAATGGCAGTTTCTTCCCTTA